TGTAGGGTGCTCCGCTTGTAGTTAACTTGTTTCCAGCTTCCTTCCCCGTGCCAAGAGCCTCCAGTTAGAGCACAGCTGTATCTTTCCATTTTTCTCTTTCTTTTTCTTTTTCTTTTTGGTGGTACCTGGGATTGAACCGAGGGGCACTGTACCACTAAGCTACAGCCCTGGCCCTTTTTCATTTTTTAAGACAGCGTGGCTCAGGTTGGCCTCAGACTTGTGATTCTCCTGCTTTAGCTGCCTCAAGTGTTGGGATTAGAGGTATGTGACATGGTGCTCCCAGCCTTTGTTTAAAAAAATCTGTGAAGCTTTCCTCCTGCTCTGTCTGTCTTTGAGGTTCTGCCAAAATGTAAGCAACGGCGGCTGAATCCTTTGGTATGACAAGTGCGGAATAAAATGCCTTGTTTTCTCATTTATTTGGATGCCTCCTTCATTTATTTGAACAGCACTGTAGCTTAATAAATAGGCTCTGTGGGCTGTGGGTTTAGAAATTATCCCAGCTGCTATTCATTCATTGATGAAACGTTTACTGAAAGCTTAACATGAGCCATAGTCCTTGGTAGGTACAAGTGCTGTTCTGGATTAAAAATTGATGGTCAGCTTAACACCAGCTGAATTAAATCAGCATGGTGCTGAGTGTAGACGTTCCACCTGAGGAAAGCTGCCAGCATAAATAAAGACATGGAAAAGGAGAGTGAGGCATTGTGGGTTTCTCTAAGTGTTGCTGTTTGAGCCGTTGGTTCTCCTGGAGGAGATCGTCATGACGTCATGATCGTCCCCAGGGTGAGTTTGACCATAGTCATTGGAGGAGTTTGGGACCTTGCTGGTGAGAGTGGCTGTGGTTCACTTTGGAGGAGCTCTGGTCCTTACATCGAGCATCGCTTCCTGGCTCTGGATGGGAAGACGTGTGCCATATAATCTCCAGGACAAATGCATCATGTTGGCTTTATGTCATGCACTTGACTGTTCTTATCATCTGAGAAGCTCGAGACCTGAGTTGCTGAGGATGGCTGTTGTGCTTCTCAGGACAGCTCAAGAACCCTCAACCTACCAGCACAGCTCCTTCGTCCCGCTGGCATAGACTTTCTAGCTTCCACCACTGACCTCTGGGCCTTTCCAGCATAGATCTGTAAAACAGACTGGCGTGAGTCCTTGTTGTGAGCTCTAGCCCTCCAGTTGGACTCCTGGGAGGCACTGTCATGAGCTCTGGATCTTCATCTGGACTCATGCAGGACATTGCTGTGGGATTCAGGCCCTTGGCTGAATATTCTATGTCTTTAGTGTTGTGGATAGATTTCCTGTACTTTCTTGTGTTAAACTCTGGGTGACCATCATAAAATAATATCATAAATTTTGTGTTCTGATTCTAATTGTTCTCTGCACAGCTCCTGACTACAGGGGTAATGAAACAGTCCCTCCAGTAGAAGACAGTAGCTTCATAACTGAGAAGAACAGAATGACCTGTGATCCATTCAGTGGGCATCAGCAGTGACGCTGTTGGGAAAGTGTTTTTTTCCTTTTGGTATCCAGCATCAAACTCACGAAGTTGCATTTGTCAGGGAGGCACTTATACTGCTGAGCCAAATACCTGGCCTAGGAAAGCATTTGCCAAAAGTGGTATATGAACTGTTGGTTTCATGAAATAATTCCCAGGAAGTTGAAACCAGAGGAAAGCTTTTAATAATTATAAAATTGAATGTGGATTAGAGAAATAAGAATTCTAATCCAGGGCTGGGGATTTAGCTCAGCGGCATAAGCGCCTGCCTTGCAAGCAGGCAGTCGCGAGTTCGATCCCTGGTACCGATAAAAACGAAAAAGACAAAAAAAAAAAAAACAAAAAAAAAAAAAACAAAAAAAAGAATTCTAATCCACTAGACCCTTGACTTCACAGGTATTGTTGCTTTAGAGTTTGTATCAGTAAAAAGTCTACGAAGGAAGTAAAAGCCACTGCAGAGGGACGAAAGGTTCTCTAACTCCATTAGTTCTTATAGGGGTTCTCTAGGAACTCAGTTGATATAAGGGCGGCATACCAAGAGAAAAGCATACACGTTTATTAATTTTACATGTACATGAGTCTTTGCAAATGAATAAAGTTTGAGGAAATGGCCAGAATGTGGTGCAGGATAATCAATCTGTGGTGGGAAGACAGGACAAGTGAAGACCTGGACTGAGCAGCAAATTCTAGGGATGTTACTAGGAGATACATGGGGAGTGTCAGCGGGAGATAAAGCTTACTTCAAAGGATTTGTTTATCAGCGCTCACTGCAGCCCCAGGGGCTGGTCTCTGAGGTCAGGGTTATCTCTTGGCCCTCCACTCCTTCTAAAAGAATCTTTATGGCTTGCTGCATGTGAGAAAAGACAGGGCACAGGGCCCTTTGGGACGTTCTAGTGCCTCAGATGGCTCAGCTTGAAATGATCAATAGACCAGTGTGGCATATTTTACTCTAACTCCTTTAGCATCCTAATTTTAACTGAGAAAATCAATACAAAGAGGTGTAAATCCGATGCTAAAGAACTCTAAGAGAAAGCTGCATGTTATGGTTCGATAACTAGTGGTCAACTTAACGCCAGCTGGATTACATCAGCATGTATTGAGAGAAGATGCTCCACCTGAGGAGGGTTGCCAGGATAAATAGGTGGAGAAGAAGAGAGGTGGGGAGAGGGATTGAGGCGTTATGGAGGCATTGTTGGTTCTCCTACGAGTTGCTGCTTGAGCTGTTGGTTCTCCTGGAGAAGCTTTGGTCTTCACATCGAGCATTGCTTCCTGGCTCCAGAGGGGAAGACATGTGCTGCCTGGTCTCCAGGGTGAACTACTCACGCTGCTTCCTGGCATGTTCCCGACTGTGCTTGTTGTTGGAGGAGCTCGGAGCCTCTGTGTCGCTGAGGACAGCTGTGGTGCCTTTCAGGACAGCCCCGCTCTTTGTTGTGAGTGTGACTTCTCGGCTCCAGTGTAGAACCCTCATCCCACTAGCACAGCTCCTTCATCCTGCTGGCATAGACTTTCTGGCTTCCACCGCTGACCCTTGGGTCTTCCCGGCATGAATCCGTAAAAGAGACTGGCGTGAGCCCTTGTGGGCCCTGGACTTCCAGTTGGACTCGTGGAGGCACTGTCCTGAGCTCTGGGTTTTTATCTGGACTCATGTGGGACATTGCCGTGGGGTTTAGGCTCTTGACTTATATAATCTATGTCGTTGGTGTTGTGGATAGATTTCCTGCATTTTCCTGTGTTAACTTTCAGTGACCATTATAAAAATATTATAAACTCCATGTCCTGACCTGAATGTTCTCTGTGTAATAACCCCGGACTACAACACTGCAACTCGTAGGGAAGGGGTCAGAAGTTTAGAAGCTTGGAGGGGACCCAGAGAGGTGAAAACTCAAGCCTGGCTGCTCACTGAGTACTAGCTGCTTCTCGGAACTGAGTGTGGGGTGTGGTGGGGGCGGTGGTCCAAGCATGGGACAAATGTCTGCGCGGGAGCCAGGCTGGGGCTAGCGCTGAGATGTCTGCGGGCTGCTTCAGCACGTGCGGGAAGGAAGCCCTGTGAACTGGTGCTGGGCTAACACTGCCCTCTGCGGGTGGAGGGTTTGCAGCAGGCACAGGACCAAAGCCCTCTTCCTCTGGCTTTGCCGCCTCTGTCTCCACTGGCCAGCTCGCTGGAACAAAGACGGTTTGCTCAGCCCACGACAGGTTCCAAAAGCTGCGTAGTCTGACCTCTGAATCTGCGGACTCCACGTCTGTGGGCCAGGTAAACCGCGGATCACCAATGCTTAGCAGTCTGTGCTGAAGACTTTATTTTCAAAATGACTATGTGGCATTGACGCTGCAGTAGGCACTGTCACCTAGACATGATTTAAGGTCTAGGGGAGGATGCACCGAAGTCATATGCAAATACTGCATATTCATATAAAGGACGAGCATCTTCGTGCTCTAGTTCCTGTGAGGACTCCCGGTGCTAACCTCCGTGGATACCTCAGGGCGACTGCAGAGGGTGAGGCGGGGCCGGACTGGAGCAATAGCTGCTGTAGCCCGCCACAGCCTCGGCACCCAGCGGCCGTAAAGCTGTTCTAAACATGAACTTCCAGCGAAAGAGGAAAATCTGTTTTCACCTAATATAGTGCAAGAGTCCTTTGTCTAAAAGATAATCCTCATGCTGTCTCCAAAGTAAGTCAAAATCCCAGCGATTTCCTGGAGAATCCTATTCATCTTTTGACTTAGTCACAGCCCACCTGAACATTCTTAAGACTAAACAGCAACATTAATCCCTTAAAAACCATAATGAGGGAGGGGAAGAAATTAGCCCACCGAAACAGCTCAGTGCAGCTGCCGCAGTAACTGTTTCTGGAACTGGTCCCTCGCAGGCTGTTTTCTGGATTTCAGCTCCTGTGGGTTCGGGCCTGGTAAGGCACCCCAAAGCTTCACTGCTTCAAGGTCCCAAATCATTCCCCCCGAGACAGTTTTCCATTAATGTCATCAGGCACGTGAGGGCTGAGCACGCGCTGGTGAATTCCCGGGGGAAGGTAATGCGCCCTCCCCTGCTGCCCCGAAGTGGCACAGATGCATGCCCTTTGCTGCCAGATCACTTGCACCAGCCAGGAGGGTAAATAAACTCCTCTACTGGTTAAATGACCAGATGGTCTCAATCTGTTTTAATGAAGCCACTGTGTCCCCTGGTGGGAATACTCTTGGCCTGGGAAGCCATCAGGGAGGCAAATCACCTGCTAGAGAGGGAGCGCCTTTCCCTAACCTGCTCACAGACCCTGTACCAGCCACAGCGCCACAGCATAGCTGCTTTTCGTTAGGTGGAGGGCTGTGCTTTATCTGTGCCACGCCACACCTTCTGCAGCAGGGCCCCATCCTGTCACCCTGCTGCTCCGAGACGGAGAGAAAGGACGGTGCACTGTTCTCACCCTCTTGGTGAAAAGGGACCAGGTTCTCCACAACTTTTCCATAACTCATCAGAGCCCAACACACAGACAGCCAAAATCTAGAGACTCAGGGAGAGGAGGCATCTACTTCATTTATTTGCCGGGAACAGAATTAAATAAAATCATTAATTCTCAGAAGTTCTCAGTACACATCTTCAGACAGACAGACACAACCCTGGAGGCTGCTGGATTTATTTATAACAGGGTTCATGTGGAAGATGCTCTGCTCAGCGCAAATTCTATCAGGCTGCAGCGTGGAAACTGGTAACTTTTTGACACTAATTTTTTACGGTTCAACTTAATTCTAACTTTTGTATTCTACATATGTATATCTATATTCTATAGACTATGTTCTAAATTTAATGGGTAGTTTCAGGAAATTAGTATTTGAGTAGAATTTGTATTAATGAACTAAAATTATTACTTGAAAGCATAATAGAAAAAGAACGTGAAAACAGATGTTTATTACAGAACTTTAATTAAATGCCTTAAACAACAAAACACCACCCAACACAGACAGTGAACTGGCAGCATACAAATGCTTCAGGCTAGAGGTTATGTCTGTTGTTGATCAGTTAACGTACAATAAATTCTCATGGCATTGATTCCAAAATGAATGCATGGATTGGGCTGACACGATTAAAGCAAAATATAAACATGAGGGCAACCACAACATTAGCATTGATTTTAGGAGCCAGCTGAAGGTCAGTGACTGGAGAAGTACGCATTAACACAAATCTTTAGTAAGCAGCCCCTGGCCCCCCGTCACTGAGGTCAAGGGCTGGCATTATACTCTTGACAAATGCCACTAGGAAAAGGATGTATAACATCTACCACACATCTGTTTCAAAAACAGCATGTTTCCCAAACCGTACATTTCTTTACAAACAACGTGACTTATTAGCAACGAGAGAGGCACCATCAGGAGGGACTCCAAACCACGCTCCTCTCACGGCTCCGGAGCCGTATTTGAAGGTGCTCACTCTAATCCTGGGGCTTTAAGAACATCTTCTTCATTTTAATAGGCTTCATGTTTCCATTTTCATCTTCCTCATAATTGGCACGGTCTCTCTTCTTGGCAAACTTTTTTCCAATTGTCCCCACCAAGGTTTCGTATCTGTTAAGACAACACAAATAAAAAAGTCGGAAGCTCGCAGAATCCAACCACATACAACAAAGAGGAAGAAAATGAAAGTTATGATTAAAAGAAGCCATCTAATTGAAAAATTGATGAATTTCACTAAGAATGTTAACGTGCTTCACTGATTTTGCCTTTTGACACAGTGCTAAACAAACTGAGCTGCACGATTCTGCATGCATGGAGGCAGCAAGGAAGGGCCCTTAAGGGCTGGCTGGCCGGAGGCATGGGCCCACTGTGGCCACAGCGGGGAGGAGGAGGGCCACGGGACCCCAGCTGCAGGAGACCGGCGCGTCAGGCGTGCACAGGACAGCCAGCGTCCGGCATGGCAGGCCACAAAGCTGTCCCCAGGCAACGGTTACCTTCTAGCCATTTCTTCATCTGACACATCAACTTCCACGGTTTCGTCTTCCTCTTCCTCCTCGGCTTTGTTCTTCGCATTCATCTGAAGCATTAATTTCTGAAAAATAAGTCAGCGCTGGCCATCAGGCTGGAGACGGCCTGAAAGGGCCTGGCATTAAATTCAGCTGAAGGTAGAGAGGTGGAGTCCCAGCGTCTGGAGGGCCAGGAGGACTTCTAACGGGCTCCTGAAACGCTGCCCGCTGGCCACCCGCACTAGCAGGATCGGCGCCAGGATCAGTCCTGAAGCAAAGGGGTGCGGGCTGCAGTTAGTGTCAGAAACTTAAACTGTGGTTTAGCTCGTAAAAATCACTCCTGGGTCACTTATAATTAAAGCTGCAGAGCTTAATTAACACATTCCAGCGAGGGAAAGAGAACAAATAAACTCTGAGATTCCCTCTGGGCTTCCCGCCTTGGAGCCAGGTGGAGCTCGGTACAATGGTTAGCAGTGATTTTAAATTCCTCTTGTGGTGGGGGGAGCCGGGGAGCCACCACCACAGGACACAGGTGCAAGCCCCGGCGGGTCACAGAGGGAGGACCCTGCCTCCCAGGCTCCCCCTAAGCTCCGGGTGAAAATGTATCACACATGATGTCCCCAAGCCACAGGACTCCCCTCCATCTCGTTTGACAGTTATCCTGAGAAAGAACAAGTACAACACTTTCTTTACAGCAGGGGAGGAGGAGGAAGGCTTTCCTCACACTGAAAGATTCAAAGCCTCTCCCGAGGCGGGGCAGCCAGCTCGCCGGAGGCTGTGCTAGGGAGGCCACGCTCTGACGGCGCCCACACACTTTTGGGGCTGCGCCGCTGCTCCCTGCACTGGGGCAGGCATGCTGGGGGTGGGAGTGTGCGCCCAAAACCCAGTTCTGCGGGCTGGAAGCGCGCATAAGCCTGACTTTTCCTGCTCCTTTTTCTTCCCTTGAAACTTTAAAGCAGGTCAAAATCTCCACTAAAAACAACAACAACGACAACAACAAAAAGCAGAAGGAAGAGGAGGAAGAAAACTAATCTAGCGCGTTTGGGTAACGCCCCTCTGGCAAGGGGTCGTGCGCTGCGCTGTCTGGCGGCACACTAGGGTGGCGGTGCTGGCCGGGAATGCTGAAATGACTTTGCAGGCCGGGAGAGACGTGGTAACCTAAATCCTGGCTTCGAGTACGCTCATAAAACCAAAGATTTATACACACACGTGCGTGCAAGTGGTCACACAGGTGGCAGGGTGGCTCCTAACACACAGGGTGATCAAAACAGCAATGCATGTTTCGGAAATAGTGTAGTAAGAGACACTGCGCCATCAATTACCCTGAAAATACCTCCTCTCTCTCCAAACCCACTGCCCACTGTTCCTGCCGCCTTCTGGAGCAGTTCCCGAAGCCCTCTGTTGTGTCCTTACGAGGCCTGACCCACAAATAAGGTGAGTGCTCTGCTGAGTGCCATCCAACAGAAAAGCAGGCTCTAAATCCACAACGTGTCTCACCCACCACGTGCACACTTCACGCTGGGCAACTTCTCCAACGTCAAGACAGCCTCAGGGAAACTGCTTTGGATTGATTCAGGACACGGAGGCAGCCACGACAATGCAACTGCAGATACCCATGGAGGAGGACTTCCAGAACCTTCTCATAAAGCGGAGGAGTGATGGGGCTCATGTGTTGCAAGGGAGGGGTGTAACTGCAGGGGCTAACGTCAGTGTGTCTTCTACGGCAATAAATCTTAAAACCTTAAGCCATCACTGTATTTCTAGGTCACACCTAATAAACGTGTTAAATAAGATCTGCTTCCCTTACATGAGCAGCAGGCAGTCACAAGGTGAATATTCGTTTTTCAAATAGACTTCCAGAGGTTCACTTAAAAATTTATTTACAAGCTTAGATTAAAACCTGTCTATTAAAAAGTCAAATTACACAAATTTTAAGTAACAGCTTTTCCATTAGAAAAGATACATTTATAGATGCCAGAAAATAACTTTTCATAACATCAGCATATGAATAAAATCTTGACATTCTTATAAAAGACTTGAGTTGAGAGTCTAACAAAGGCACCGGCAGGGCTTATATACTATATTTATATACTATATTTATATCAGCAGGCCATTAAACTACTCAATTCTACTCAGTTCTTCCATAAAACTAGGCTGCAATGCCTGCAATTTCTTTAAATAGCTACGGCAGCATTTCAAGACTTGTTATTTTCTATGTAACGAGGAGAAAAGGGACCCAGTGAAGAGAAACCTAACCCTAATTACCGGCAGAAAAAATTCAATTGGAAAATCCTAAAATTTGAAGCAATTGCATTTAATACCTCAACTTCAGGATTGAATCCTCTGAATGACATTCTTCCATAGAGAAGATCTTCACATAACAAGAAGCTTTGCTCTTCTATTATGAAACTCCTAAATGGGAAAATAAACCTGAATTAATAGTGTCTACTTACAGGGGAAGTAGGCCAGGATTTGGAACGAAAAATCAATCCTGTGTGTTCGTAGGACCAAGTGCAAATGCAGGAAGATGTGTAGGCCAGAGTGAGGAATAAAGTTTGATTAATTCGGTCCACAAAGGAATCAGGAGAGAAGAGCTAAACACTGTGCCTAAGTAGTTACACTAAACACAGACTTAAGTTCTCACAATAAGCTTCAAGTTTCTAAAGCGAAGAATATTATTTGAAATTTATATCCATCCCCATGCTCTGATGCCACATCCAGGAAAATAACCAAAAAAACCCCCAAAAGTCAGGAGAGGCCTGGGCATCTATCTTTCACAGGATGCCTTGGTTGTAGCTCTGTTAGAAACACAAAGACTGGCCCTGGACAGCTTAGAAAAAAACTTATTACCAGAACACCGGGAGGCTGGAAGAGCAGAACTAGAAAACAGGCACATTACCAAACACTGGTGGCTTAAACCATCAGAAACTGGTGCTCCCACTTCTATGGGGTGAGAAGCGCAAGACCCAGGTGGGCAGAGCTGTGACCTCGCAGAGGCCCTGGCAGAGTTCACAGCAGCCGCTCCGGCTTCCAGGCCGCTCAGCACTGCCTGCGCGGGACGGTCTCTCCAGCCTCTCCGCCTTCTTCCTTACCCCGCCTTCCTTCGCTGAGTATCGAACCGCTCACCTGCCCTCTTACCAGGTGCTACGGTTAGTCCCCAAGCGTTGGCAGTCGGTCCCCAGGAAGGCCACGTGACAAGTAAGGGCCTCTGGGATATGGGACCGTGTGAGGTTCTCGGGTCACAAGAGGTCGCTGCCCGTGGCGGGGTGCTGGTCGCAGGGAGCTGCTGCCTCTCTGGCCTCTGGTCTCACACTGTTCCTTCCTTTCTCCACTATTCTTCACGAGGTCCTTGCCAAAGCTCAGGGGAGGGCAAAGCTAAGGCCGGTGTCGCATACCTGACCTCCAGAACTGCGAGCTGAAAAGCTCCTTCTTTCTGAGCTTACCCAGCTTCAGGCACTTCATTACAGAATTAAAGAAAGAGCCACTGTCCAAGGAAATGTATGTAAGTCCAGGGCCCACCCGCATAATCCGGATCATCTCTCACCTAAATAAAGATCCTTCACCACTGCAGAAAAGTCAGTTTTCCCAGGCCAGGTAACACAGGCTCCAGAGAAAATAAACTGGATATTATCTGGGAGACTTGTCTAGTCTGAGGAAAGAAAATGTACTCTTTAACTCTATGTTGAACAAATACTGGAGCTTGGAGAGCAGGAAAGTAACTAGCCAGAGGGGGACAGATCAAGCTGAATATTCTCTGTGAGACTGAGCAGAAAGGTCACACCTTACAAGTCAGGTTAACTTAATCCTAAGAGTAAAAGCTATAAAGCCCACTCTAACCAAATAATAAGCTAAACAACAAACAACAAAATAGGCAGAAACTCTAGACCTGAAAAACAAACACACAAACCCTAAAGTGAAACAGAGGCGTAGTCTCATATCAAAGAAACTGAATTCATTATTTACAAACTCTCCACTGAGAAAAGCTCAGATCTGGATGGCTTCATTCAAGTTTTATCGAACATTTAATGAATAAATAATATCAACTATATACAAACTGAGAAATGAAGAGGTAGGAATATTATTTAACACATCTTAAGGCCCAAATCAAATATAAAAATCTGTGATCTAGTATCTTTTATAAATATAGTGGCAAAAAACCACTGCTAAACTTAGCAAACTGAATTTAAAAATATAAAACTGTAACAGATAAAGACCAAGTACAAAGTATATTGAAAATGTAATGTTAATTAGAGAATCATTACAACACATTAACAGAATAAAGAAGATCACATGGTATTCTGATCAAAAATTATTGGAAAAAATTCCACATTATTTATGGAAGCTCTCAGCAAGTTAGGAAAGAAAGAGCTCCCTCCGATGCGGATGGAGACGCGGACAGAGAGCCTCCACCCAGCACAGAGCACACCAGGGAAAAGGCACATGCTTTCCCAAGACCCAAGCGATGGGAGGATTCCCACGCCTCGCTTCACTCTGCCCTACAGGTCCGAGCCATGAAATATGTGGAAAATGAAAGCTGTGACTCGCTCTGTCGCTCTGAGCACTGAGCCCAGGGAGTGCTGCGACAGCCCTCACTCGGCCCTCGGAAACTCTGAGACAGGGTCTCCCTAAGTTCTCCTGGCAGGTCTGGAACTTACACTCTGCTCGGCTGAAAGCTGGGGCTTAGTTCTAGCTGTGGGATGACCCTGCCTGCGCCGATCACGCCCTTGAATAAGGTAGCAGCCCCTGCGGGACACCTGCCTGTCCTCAGATTCTGCCACTAATCCTGCACCGACACTCCAGGCCTGGAGTGGAAATTACTCCCATTGCACAAACCAGGAGCCACAGCGCTGTGCCTGGTGGCTCCCCTGTATCCCACCCACACCTCGGCAGCCTTTAGGGTGCAAATGACCTAATCCGACAGTGTCTGCCTGGACGGGGTTGCTTTTTTATGCCAACATCCTGAGCTGATACCCACACCTCCACATAACAGGATGCCGATGATGGCAACGACTTTCTTCCCTTTCCCACAAAGGGAACTTAAAGGGCATTTTCAAGAACAATATGCTATTTGAGGGAGGAAAAAAAAAAAGCACTGGAAAAAACCAAAATCTGTCCTGCCCTTTAGAAGTTCTACTGAAGAGAAAATTAAACTACAGCGCCTGCGCACACGCCCCGCCCCGCCCCGCCCCGCCCCTTTCACAGGGCCTCTGGTACTAGCTCCGCCCTTCTCACCAGCACCCAGCTCCCCTGAGCTCACAGGGAAAAAGTCCCTCCCCCAGACCCCCAATGGAACACACCTTCTACCTTTACAGGAGGGTACCTGAACTTCTGACAAGGTGCAGGAGGGTCAGAAAAATAACAAAGAAACCTATCACAGTAAATAAAAAACCAAGCTGTTGGGGGAAAGAAGGAAAGACACACACATGCCCCCCAACAGTAAGCAGTATCTGAGTCATTTGACAAAAGTTTAAGTAAAACACACACCACAGAGCTTATCAAGGTAAGAAAAGTATTAGGGGGAAAAGGATAAAGAGCTGCTAGAAGCATCTGGACAAATTGATGATACGAATCCACCACTCCTTCACTCAAAGCAGTTTCTGGCTGGGCGTGGTGGCTCACACCTGTAATCCCAGCACTCAGGAGGCTGAGGCAGGAGGATCATTGTGAATTCGAGACCAGCCTGGGCTACAAAGCAAGTTCAAGGCCAGCCTGGACTGCACAGAGACCCTGTCTCAAAAAGATAAAAACAAAACAAAATAAAACAAAAAAACAAAAACAGTTTCTGAAGCACTAGCTTCAGAAGGTTGAATGGAAACTGTCGCGTGTGTCAGCCCCCGCTTCAGCACTGACTAAACTGGGTGGCTCTGGGCAAATTAACTTCTCTGAAGCTCCAGCTACTCAAGGGACAGAATGACAGCAGGTGGTTTGCTATGAGAATTCAGTAATTAAGGGATGGAAGGGGATAGTCCAGTGCCTGGAATACACTACAGACTCAGTAAGTTTGCTAAATGAATGGTATTATAACAATTGGAAAGAGAAAAGAAAACAAGATCCCAATCTGCCTTACGAAGCTCAGCTTCATGAAGAACTCTCTATTACTGAAACAAAACTGGAGCAGCCTGACGCATACATCTAATCTTTGGAACACTATGTGACAGCATAGTATAGCTTCCCAGAAAAGGCCCCCTGTGATTATCAGACATGCGCAGCTTCACTGAATACCTTTATTCAATGTTGAAAAAAGGACAGTGCTATACAAAGGATGGTCAGATGCCACTAAAAATGTGTATTAAACGCATTTGTAAGACTAACTCAGGAAACTGAACAGAAGCGATTTTACACCACCAGAAGGAGTGAAATTTACAGGGATCACTCTGCCTCCCTCAGGCATCACTGATATAAATTATTATAAACCTACTCTTTCTCTTTAAGCTCGGGCAAATCCAAATACCAATGTTCTTCACTAATGATCTTCTTTTCTTCCTCTTCTAGTTGTTTCTTGGTTTCTGAGTCCAGTCCTCTTTGCATGAACTGTCAAAACAAAACAAAATTGGTGTTAGCACTGTTTGCCTGGATGATTAGTACTCAGGCTGCACCTCAAAAGGGCTTAATAAAGGGTCTTTTGTGTATGAATGACCTAGTTTTGTCTAATTTTTTTCAGACTCTTAGACTGTTCCCTTGAAATGCAAATGGTTTATTTTTGTCACTCATATCTTGGAGGTAAAACCCTAATCCTGCCTACTTTCCATTTTTAAGTCAAGTAGATACTCTTTATGGTATACTAATAGCAGTCCTATCGTAAGGGGTCAAAAGATACTAAAATCAAGTCAGTACCTTTTCTACAGCCAATCTGTCCCACTGGTAAACTTTCCATCTACATCCTGTTTTCTACTTCCCATCAGGATCAACTTTGACTCCTTAACAGCTGCTGATGTCAGCGGAGTTCATGAGTCCTGGAAATAGGCGAGTCAGGATCAGTGCTCAGAGCTCTCCCATCGGCCCCTACACTAGCTCTGGGTGAGCAGACACAGCTGCTCTGTGTCCTTCCTGTGACCGCCACTCTCTCTGCAGAAGCCACTTCCTGCTGTCCCACTGCTAAATTCAAGGACCGCAGTTGCTAACCCAAAGAGAACCTGAGTATCTTCCCCTTACTCTTTGCTTCTAATATCCAGATGCATCTTCTCTCATTCACTTGGGTGGGATGCACTGTTTTAAATTAGATTTTTCCTTAACTCCAGGCTCCCAATTTTCAGTCTAAGCTCGAATGGCCTAGCATATTTGAAGAGTTAAAACTAATAATTGGTAAAAATCTTTTCGATGCTTAATTGGCCAAAATATTCCATTTCTCTGAAATTAGTGTGACTACAAGCCATTAAACCAAAAGAAAACTCCCTTCAGTGGAGACTCAACTTTTGCTAACATGCATAAAAAATTACTTTACGAACTGCATTAAGCTATAATTTGCCCTCCTCCTTCAATCATCCTATTCACCCCTAGTTACAGTCTAGCTCAACTCTACTCAAATTTTATAGTTTGCTCTCCAATATTCAAAACATGACGTATAGCTTCCTTTTCTTGGAAATTCTACCACTCTCTGAACATGACGTCTACATTCACATCACTCTGTAATCAGATGATCTCCACATTAAAATGGTTTGACTTATGAATTTTCAACTCTGTAAAGGTTCGGGAACCAGTAGTTCAAATTTTGATCTTTTTCTGGGCTAGTCATAACAGCACAACACTGTCTGGTGATGCTGAGGAACCAGAGGTGAACTACACAATCGCCAGGATAAAGCAGTGTTGCTGAATTACGATGCTCAGTAGGTTAGGTGTGTCTAGTGCATTGTTACCTTATTGTGGACTCAGTGGATCAAAAAGCAGCTACAGTGCTCGGTGTAGAGCATAGTAATTAAGATCAGAGTAGTAATTAAGAGTAGTAAATTGTGTATCTTTGGGCAACTCTCTCTTGAGTTGCCTCAATTGTTAGTATATGAATTACATGAGTTACCAGGCACAAAACACTTGTAACAGTATCTGGCATACAGCAAGGTCTGTGACCATTTCCTAATGGTATTACCTAACTTTTAAAGCTAAGTGGTTGCCCTGTTTTAATTCCTGTGTTTATCTACCCCTGCTTTTTTCTTCCACTTTGAAATTATAATTACTTCAATTTCAAACTTAAAACTCTATTTTACCGAAAGCTGAGTGACACCTCACTTTCACTCATTCTCAGCTTTATTCTCCATTTTTCCATTCTCACCTCAACCCCAACGCTCAAGATTATCACAACTCAAAGCTGATCTGCCTACAGTTTTGTGCCTTGTCTGGCCCTTTCCCCATCAATGAACGTATTCTCCAAAGGAGGGTTAAATTAATCTTGAACAGTAGGTAACATAGCTAATGAGACTGTTATCCAAGCTCCTCAATAGCTTCCTATTTCTCATGCCAAACGGGAAAAAAAAAAATCCTTAACCTGGCATAAAACTCCCTGCAGGCTGTGCCCACTGCCTACTTTCCCATTTCCTCTTCTTGCTACTTGCCTTCCACACATAACTCAGTTGTCTTTAGTTCTTCGCAATATCCATGCTGTTATTTTCTTTCTTCCCTCTCAGACTTCTGAATTCGCTTTTCCTTCCTGACGCTACGCCTGCCATCCTCCCACTGGTCCTCAGTCCCAATTTAAATTCCACTTCCCGCAACAGGTCCCGGCCTTCCACCATCCCTGCACTTGACTCGCTGTGGTCTTTACCGGCTGCTTAGGCGTATGTAGACTCCTAATTCATAATCTGCTTCCGGGTGTCTAATGTTGGGCAGACACTGAATGAATGAATGAACGAGAGAAATGGAGGCCCTCCTGGACCTCTCTGGTCCCCCTATCCCCACCATAGGTATATCTCCTGCCTCGGCTCTAGACCGATCCGGAGGTCCCTAGGGGCCTTGTCACCCTGTCCAGCTCTCCCAGAATCCCCGCACCTTCATGCGTAGCAAGTTCTTGGACAACTTGGTCTTCCGCTCGGCCGCCATGCTGGTTCCAGACCACGACAGCGTTCCGGCCACCACAAGACCTACTGCGCATGCGCACCGCTGCGCGCACGGATGACGTCATACGTACCGTGCGTCGTCCCGCCCCGCCGCTCTGTTTCTGCGGCTCGAGCGTCGGTGCTTGCTGCTTCTTCGCCAGTCACCTCAGGTATCGCTGGTCTCCGCCGGCCGGAGGTTGAGCGTGACTTGTAGCCGGAGGGCGGACCCTAGGGGTGTGGAGCGGTGAGGCCCGCGGCCGGGGATCCTCTGATGCCCCAGCAGGATGCGCGCCCTGGCGGCGGCCTGGGAGCCTCCTTTCCCGGGTCCTCGCCTTCCCGCCGCGCTCCGCGGGCCCCGCGCGGCCAGGCGCCCCTTTGCAGGTTCACCTTGTAGTCGCAGTGGCCGGTGAGATTCTCCTGTCACTGTACCAACCTCACAGGGCGAGGGAGGGGGCGAGGCAGCCAGGCCGCCTTCAGGATGGTCCTTAGACGCAGAGCCGCAAATGCAGGGGGAAGCTGCTCGACTCACCTGCCCACTGCCCTGTGCATCCTTGCGTTCAAATGTTAAGCAGGAAGTAGCAAGAGTGTAGGCAGGGTTGGGTGTCAGAGACCTAAGAAGACCTAGAGGGTTGGAAGAACATTGAAGAGAGGGTAGCTTTATTACTCAGTGTATTAGGTACCCTTCTACTGACGCTTTTTCACGATTCACAGGCTCAGCACTTTGGAAACATCCAGCCTAGTAGCGTTTCAGATAGTGGCGTGTACTGTATGTCAGGGTCACCAGCAGGGTACCTTATAACATAAACACTGTGAAGAAGACATGGTGTCCTTATTAGGGTGCCTGAGGTCTAGGGAGGAAAGGGACTGCTGGATTGGGGTTAAGCCTGAGATTCAAAAGCATTTTGGATATTAAAAACTTCCCAGCTTTCCTTCAGGAGGAAGGAAGGACGTTATACTGTGCCAGATATTTAGAGAAACTCACTGGTAGCTAGGAGTGGACACTGGGGTACAACAGTGCATAAGAACACCCCATGACCATCCGTGGAGCTGACATTCGAAACATAAGTGGTGAGCGCCTGGAAGAAAGAACCATGATGTGACAGAGTGACCTACAGGGTCACTGTAGAAAAGATAGTCCAGAATGGCCCTTGTTAGATGATACTGCTGAGGCTTGAGTGCTGAGAAATTCTGTTGTGGGAAGATTTGGGGGTCGAGTGTACCAAGAGGAGGGCAGAGGGTCTGTAAAGGTCCCGACACAAGGATGGGATAGATGTTCCTGTTCACAACGGTTACACAGTGGGCACCGTACATACTAACCACATAGCTTCTGAGTGGTGTCCCTTAACACTCACAGAGGCCCCCGTGCCTCAGAATCTGACTGTGGTTGGAGACAGAGCCTTTAAGGATGTGATTAAGTTAAAATAAGGCCTGCGGGGTGGACCCAAAGCTTGTATATCTGGTGTCCTTGCTTTGTGTGTGTGTGTGTGTGTGTGTGTGTGTGTGCTGGAAATCAAAACTAGGACCTCATCCATGTTAGACAAGTGCTTTACTCCAGGCTACCTCTGTAATCTCACATAAGAAGAGAAATTTTGAACACACAGGCACAAGAGGTGTGTGTAAAAAAGGAAAGGCCATCTGCAAGCCAAGGAGAGAGGCCTTGGGGGTCCAAGTGTCACCTGGATACTTAAAATTCTATTTTTAGTTGAGAACGGAAATACTTAAATGAATCTCCAAAGTCTTTTTTCCACCTCTCAAAAGTGTAATAAATGAGAAGTGATTTAAGAGTTACAGTGTGGTCAAGGTTGGTGGTGCACATCTATAATTCCAGCACTTGGGTGGCTGAGGCAGGAGGATTGCTGGGAGTTCGGGATCAACTTGGGATATTTAGTGAGTTCAAGGCCTGCCAAAGACCTTGTCTCAAAAAACCAGACCAAAGCAAAACAACCCCCACTAGAACAACAAAAAGCAAAGCAAAACAAAAACAATAATAGTGTCATTTTAACTCTCAAGTGTAACTCCCTGATGGCGACAATAACTCCTTGATCTTTTTGTGCTGCTGAATTACAGAACGCAGGACAGGGGACGTACTCAGTAATGTTTAGCCTGCTATAGCTATCCAGTCAAGGAAACACTGGGGGAAAATACTTTGGATAGGTCTTCGCACAGTTCTGAGTCATTTCATAATGGAGTTTTCCAAGTGTGAAAGCCTCCCTCCCATTCCTGTCTACTGGATCCGTGAAGAAAGAGGTTCCTGACTCGGTTCTGTCTGCGGTGCCCACCGCAGGAGGCTCCGGTCACACGTAGCTGCCGAGTCCTAAATGGGACCGTGCATCTTAGCAACTGATACTTCAGTAACCAAAATGTTTTCTGTGTCCACAGCTCTGCAGTTTTGGAAGTACATTTTACTTTTACTTTTGAAAATTTAACATCTGAGTTGAGATGTGTGAGTGTAAAACACATGCTAAATTTCAAAAACTTAGGAGATGGAAAAGTAAAATATTTCAGTATTTCTCATAGTTGTTATATGTTGAAATGATACTTTGGATGTTTTCTTTGAAATAAAACAATATTAAAATGAATTGATGAGTGTCTGTATCTTTTTAATATGGTCACGTGTGGCTTGTCTTGGTCTCTCCCTCTTTGTCTCCCTCTGCCTCTCCCACTGTCACCTCCCTCTCTTTTTACAGCACAGAATTAAACACTAGGTTTTGTTCATGGGTTTGCAGGTACCAGATATTGAGAAAAAATAAAGTTTGATTGGAAAAGGATGCTGGGTAGTTAGTAATGGATAAGAAGGCTTGAAAACAAGGCTGGGTTCACAAGACAAGAACAGCTTCTGGTTTCACAAAGCCGGAGGAAGCTTAATGCCTCTGCAAGAATGGGCGAAGCTCCGACTGATTTCTGTACCTAGGGCACTTACATTTTCACAGCCGAGGAAAAAGTCCTTTTGTCTTAGTTCAGGACGGGATCTATTTTGCAACCCCTAGTGAGACTCTGCACAGTACAGAGGGCAGTTCTTTAAAGGAAATTTGGGTGCTGTTCCTGAAAGAAGGAAGGGATTGTAATAGTCACAGAGCAGTGCTCAGAGTTCTGCTACAACAGCCCCGAGGCAAAGACCTGTTTGAGTGCCAGGTGGGAAATTCAGGTCCAACATCAAATCTCTTTTTTTAAATCACAAAATGTATGCCCCTTTCTGTATCCAGGTTTCATTCATTAAACAAATACGTAGTGCCTGCCTGTTGTATGCAATTGTGACTTTAGGCCTCTAACCTGAAACTCTTAAGTAGTGCACGTCTACCTTCAGTTCTTACATCAAGTTGTCTGGCAGTTTCTTCTTTCATAGGTATCTTGGCAGAACATTAGTGCTGGATACGGCCTTACAGGAACAGTACCTGGGAAAGTAATTGCTGAACAGCAGTGAGTTGTTACAGAACAATCAGAGGTGCTGGGGTCTGCGTCTAGGTCCCCAAACCCCCAGCGAGTGCATAGCGAAGGCCCACAGGAATGAGGCAAGCCGCGTGATCTTTAGGGCTCCAGGAGAACTAAAACCCTCTGCAGAGTTCTAACTGATAGCCCACCAGCCTACTGTCCCTGGGTGGCCTGTATTTACTCAAAACAGGGAGGCGTTGAGTGGAAAACCCAGGAAACCAGAGCAGGTTCTTGGGAGGGGTTCAGAGACCCCTCAGCAACAGACGATGCTAATTAAGGAGAACGACCCAGGAAGTCTCCAGGTGGCCTCAGCTGTGGCCTGTCTTGCTGAGACTCTGACTTCCAGGCCACGCCGCAGCCCTGCACATGTGTTCAGCTTCAACAAGTCCAACACGGGAGATGAAAACACCTGAAGAAGAAAAACAACAAAAACCATTTCTAATGACCAGCCAGGTTTTGGAGACTCTCAAGCCAGACAGACCTAAATTTTATGTGCCAAATTGTATAAACTCAGTCAAAATTCAGGCTTGTTATCTCCTCTGGCTTGCTTTCCCTGTGCCCCATCTCATGTCACCCCTTCTGCTGTCACTGGCTTTTGCCTAAATCTTACTGCTTTGTGACCTGATTTATACTTTTCTTTCTTCTTTCTGTCATTTTCTTCTTTTAACAAATATTTTTTAGTATGTCTTCCATTCTTGGTGCTGTGATGGGTGCCAGAGAAACCTTTCCAGATTAGCCACGGCCAAGGTTCAGACCCTAAGAGTTGTCCAGTGGGGGTGAGAGTTTGGCAGGAAACCTACTCTGGGTTTGAGGAGTTTGGAGAGCCTGGTTTGGGGAAGTGACATCTAAGCAGAGACCAAGTTGAGTTTTCAGGTTTCCCAGTAACAGGGAAGGGGCAGAGAGGGGTGAAGGGGTTTCACTTGGTCGAATAGGGTTTGTGTGATGCCTGGTGTGTAGTGACCAGGCTGGACAGGCCAGCTAGGGCCTGGGCTTGACCAGGTGTTAGACTGAGGGCTTCCTGGAGGTCACGGGGAAGCTGTCGGGCTGTTGCAAGTGGAAGAATGGTACCATTTAAAAATTACCCAGAGAACTGTCATTTTAAAGATCTCTGGCTGGAAGTACGGAAGGGAGATGGGGGAAGAGACTGAAGGCAGGTATCCTGACATCACCTTAACAATTCTTTCAGACAAAACTTCCTGATTTCTTTTATACTATTTCTGTATTTTAACTAGTTAGTTTTATCACTTACGAGGAAAATCCAAACGGAGGTCCAGTCTTGATGGTCTCGTCTCTATACGTGACGGTGTCCTGTCTCCCAGACCTGTGTTAGGAATTCACTGACCTCTGACCACGCCAACCTGCTCCCTCCCTCCAGGCAGGCATTCCAGGGTCCCCCCTGTGGTCATTCACGCTGCCTTCGCAGGATCAGTGCTGGAGTAATGTTCTCCATTCTGTCACTTTGACGTTCTGTCTTTGGGGGCCCATTTCTAACTTAGTTTCTTTTCTGTCACCTGGAAATGATGACAGGGCCATTTTATAGTCACAGTGTTTAATTACATACTGCCTTCAGCTGTTTCCTAACAGCCAGTGGAGGACAGTTCTAGTTTATATTTAATTGATTTTTTTATAGATTCAAACATAGTTCTGAATATGCTTGTAAATAATTAATGACTAAGTGAAAAACTACTCTTTAAATAGCCAGCTGGGGCAGCAAAGGCCTGTAATCTCAGTGCTTGTGAGGCTGAGGCAGGAGAATGGCTGTGAGTTTGCGGCCAGCCAGAGCTGTACAGTGAGCTTACGGCCAGCCTGTACTACGTAGTGAGACTGTCTAAAAAAACAAAAAGTAAAAGCTAGACTAAAATAACAGCTGTGACAGCATATTTTAGAATTATATACATTGTTTAATAACCTAGAATAAGCAATAAAGTCTAGCTGAGTTGACAACTTTTTCTTTTTTGTTTCATTTTACCAAAAAAAGTCAAGGACATGATAATAGAATGCGCTTATTTCCCTGTACTATTTCTATTCAGAATGTTCTGTTCAGTTAAAAGAGATATGGTATCTTTGGACTTCACGAGAAAGCTTTTAAAGAAGCCAGTTGCTATGGAGATTATGAAGAGAAAAAGTTGGAAAAAAATCAGCAATTCATGCAGGTCTAACCCTGGACAGCATTCGGGAGGGGCTGAGGAGTTTTTCTAGAAGCAAAAAAAAAGTGAACATGAAATATTAGAACGTGTTATGATTGTGGAAGTCAAGCCCAGCAGACAAGGATGTTTATTTTCCTCAAGAGAAAAGTTAAACCTGTATTTACTAAGAAAAAGAAGGGTCTTAAATCAGAGGACTAGAGAAATTGAATAGCCTTTTCTTTTTTGGTACCAGGAATTGAACTCACAACCTCAAGGTTGCTAGGCAGGCACACTGTGCCGCTGAGCACATCCCAGCCCCTGCCTACAACTTCTGACTCCTAGAAAAGAAGAGACCATGTTACAGCGTCAACGCCAGTAGTTAAAGAAATTTCTGAGATTTTTGGCCCAGATCAAGGACTGATTCTCACCTTTTTATGTCCTACCATTGCACTGGTCAGCTTTCACATTGCTGGGACATAATTCCCAAAACCCAGGATTTGGAGTGAGGTTTATTTGACTCACATTTCAGAGGGTTGAGTCCACTGTGGAAGCATGGTAGAAAGAGGTGCTGGACAAAGCTGCCCACTGGGGGAGCAGAACAGGGGGACAGTGCCAGAGGCAGAGCCAGGGACCAGACCTTGTACCCCTGGCCCCACCTCTGTGATCTACCCAACGCACCCCGAAGTGTGCTCTACTCATCTGGCACCTCTCAGACCAAACAAGTGGACAGTCCAGTCCAACTGTGGAAATCACTCTTAAGAACAGGAACCCATCACTGTAGAAGCAAAGTCCACTTTAAAAATAAGGTTTGTGGTGATCATACTGTTACTTATTTATTTAGGGCTTTTTGAAGCAGGGTCTCCTCATGTAATTCAGCCTGGCCTTGAACTAGCAGCTGTCTCCTGGCCTCTCAGCTCCCAAGGGCTGGTGTTACAGGTGTGCACCACCACACACAGCTGTGTTATTATTTACCTTTTGTAGAATTTGTTTTTCCTGTTACCACTTTAAAGTAGAAATGAAATGACTCTTCTGTATCACCATGTGAGGTGTTTGCATCTCCCAGACATTGTCCCGAGTGGTTCCAAATGTATTAAGAGCATCGTGAAAATCATCGGCAGTTGCACTCAGGCCAGCATACTCACAGGACGCCGCAGGTTAATGGACAGTGGATTCTCAGTTCTGATGCTTGATGGGAGCCTCTGTGACTGTTTTATATCCCTCGTGTTTTCACTGCAGTTGAAAATTCCTGGCTCAGAGGACAGGTTTTTAAGACAAAACCGAATAATTAAAGAAAGTTCTGTCTTTGAAGAACCCTGTAAAGTATTAAGGAACAGTTATGTGTTTTAAGCTATTTTGTTAGTTGGCATTGATGTTTTGTGTTAAAAGAGGAAAGACTCTAATTAGATTCTTTTGATTAAAAAAGATTAGTTTTCAAATTGCAATATGTTACACAAGTGCTGTATTTTATTGCAACAATACCACAGCAAGCAGGAGAGCAGAGAGTAGAGATGACAGTCTGCCTGCCTCGTCCCTGCACTCCTCTTCCTCACAGGCACCTTCTGTACTGCTGCTGGAGATCCCCCTGGGGACTTGCACGACAGGCAAGCCCTCTATTGACGAGCCCCATCACTAGCCCAGCAACCCTTGCGTCTTACAAGAAGGCATTGCACAGGACCAGGACAGGAAGTGTTGAGAGAGGCAGAGAGAGAGAACACAAGTGATCACACGTCTGTGAGAAAACTCGTGAAGCCCCTTCACTCCTGTTCTAGTCTCAGCAGTTCGAGTCACTGGACCCTTGCTTCTGTGAGGAACGTGCGCAGACTCCGCCAGACGGACAGAGCTGTGCAGGAGGAAGGATTGTTAAGCATGGAGGCAGGTCGCTTTATAGCCACCGTGCTTGGCATGATGTAAGGAGGGCTCTATGAATTAGCTACCGTATCTCAGGTCTGTGAAGAAGGATGATCGTGTTTGTTTTCCTCAGACCTGTCGGGGTCGCTCCCGGCCGGCAGGAAAGACACACGACAAAGTCTGGCGGTGTGCAACCTTGCCTTTATTTGTCTCCGCGTGGGCCCCGCGAGGCCTCCTCTCTGCCACCAGCCCTTTCTCGCCAGTGGACTTTCTCTATCTCTCTCTGTGCTTCCTCTGTGGCGGGAGAGGCATTCACTTTTATAGGGCAACAGTAGCCAATCAGTTCAAAGCGCGCGATGCGGGCTGACTGGCTAACATCAGCTGTTGCTAGGCAGACTATCTTACAGAGCGGGTTGTTTAAGTCGCCAGCGCAATCGGGGCAGGAAGCAGGCGCCAACTTGACTCACTCGATGGGAGGGGCAATCTAGCTCAGGCTCCGCCCCCACCCACAGGCCCTACGTCCGCCAAGTAAGGCGACCGGTGTCGGCCGCGGCTCCCAACACAGACCCAAACATCAGACCTCAGCATACGACTGGGCTGCTGGAAATGATAACTGAACATTCGCTGGTGCTTTCCTGTCAAGACATTGCTCCGAGGTTGAGGGTCTGGAGAGGGTGAGGCTGCATCTGGCCACTGACCCTTGGCTCTGACTGCATACTGGGGGATGCCCAGTGTTCGTCCACTGCGATCCTCTTAGATTCTTTTCCTCCTCCTCTTCCGGTCCTCACTGGTACTCGGCATTTTGAACTTGGAGCTGGCATCCAGTGTCTGAAGCACCACCAGGCACTGCCTGGTTAGATCCTGTCTCACTGGACCTTCTGAACTTTGACCTTTTCCCAATATCGTCCACACTTCCTGAGCACGTTTGCTGCCCTAGACACTCTCCCATCTGCCTCTGGGCTTCAGGGACCTGCCTCTTCAGTGAGTATAAGCATCTATTTACGAAAGTTGGGGAGAACCGTAGAATTCAGGCAGTTTCCCACCCGTACCTGGCAGAGTTCTTTTCTTGTCCCAGTAGCAAGAGATATTAAGGGCTCATTCACCTTCTTGGAACTTGTGAGGCAGGCAGAGAGTAAAAGGGAGATTGCAGACTCCAAAAATTATTCTTTGGAAGTGTAGTAACGAAGATTTCTCTCTTTGCTCCAGCGTGACTAAGTTTTGGTGAACATATATGTGTATGATCTCTCTGTTTCTCTCATCTTTTTGAGACAGGATCTTTCCATGCAATTGAGGCTGGCCTTTAGCTCACTTTGTAGCCCAGGCTGGTCTCAAACTTGCAATGATCCTCCTGCCTCAGCCTCCTGAGTGCTGGGATTACAGACATGTGCCACCACATCAGGCATGATCTCTTGACTGTATATAGATTATGAGTCCGTTTTCCTTTTTAATCCAGCCGTAATAATTCCAATATAAAAGAAAAATGAAAATACTTCTTCAGTTACTCTAAAAAACAATTATAATGGGGTATAAGTTATGCTTTTCAATAAATAGCTCCCCCAACATTAGTGAACATTGCTTCTCTGGCTGGTTATTGTATCTGGATTTTTATGGTATCTCCAAACTACCAGGAAACTGTTCTTTGTTTGTATTGCTTAAGGGACTGGTTTTAGGAATGATTAGCCTTGAATAGATTAACTATTAATTAGGAATTAATTGCTTGATTTAAAAGTATAGCTGTTTAGCATTTAGTAATAAATGATATATACAAAATCTTTAAAAAGGGAAAGTTTAAAAACTATCCAGAAATACAGAGAAGACAATAATTTAACCTCTACATACTGATCAGCCAGCTTAATTATATTCATGGTCAGTCTTGTTTTGTTTATGTCCCTCTAGCTTCCTTCTCTCTACCCTTTTCAGTTTGAAGCTAATCCTAGACACTGTGTAATTTATCTCTAAATACTTAAGTACATGCAAAAAACTCGAATTTAAAACATAATCACAATGACATCATGTTTACAAGTTAGATAATCATGAAAGATGCTTAACTATTTATTTACTTATATACATCTCATTATTTAAAATTTAATAATAAATTTATGTCAGCAAGATAAATCTAAGTATACTAACACACTCTGAAAAATATCTGGATTATGTTGTAAGTGCAAAAGCAATTAGCGGAATAAACTTTGCAACATGGCGCATTTCCATTTTTTTGTGTCTTTTTGAGCCAGGGTCTCCTTGCGCAGCTCGGGCTGGCCTTGAGCCCACTTCGTACCCCAGGGTGGCCTCAAACTTGCAGAGATCCTCCTTTGTCAGCTTCCCGAATGCTGAGATTGCAGGCGTGTGCCCCATGCCTGGCACATCAATTTCCATCTTAAAAATGAAACCAGCAGCCATGTTTAAACACGTAAGTTAGGAGTGTATGCCTTGAGCTGGGAGCAAAGTTTCCTGTTAAAGTAAGAATGTGCATAGTTCGAGTCGGAGGTGGGATGAACTCTCGCTTTTTCCCTATCCGTAGTTCTAATTGAAAAATGCATATTACAACACTTTTGGAACTAAAATTTTAAAAGAGAATTAATGAGTAGAACTCAAATAAATGATGCCAAGGAGTCAAGTGAGAGATTCTCAGGTCAGGCTGTCCTGGCCAAGGCGGCCCCTCGGCTGAACGTTCTGCCTCCTGGGTTAAAAGCCTGGCAGCTGTGGACAGAGCGGGCAGGTGCGGGCGCTCTGGTGAGTGTCATCAATCTGATGATCTGCTTCTCACTGTGAGCCTTGGGTGTGGGAATTGATACTCTCCCTTTTAGATTAGTCAACGTGATCTGGAGCAACCACCTTGCCGGAGGTTGGAAGCAGCTGGCCCCGACTCAGCCCTGAGCCGGAGGCCTCCCCTGCCCGAGCTGTCACGGCCTCGCTGACAATTCCGTCTCCTCCGTCCGGTCCTGAAGGTTTCACAGGTACACAGTGAACTTGTGTAGCTCACGATGTGTGGCTCCTGATGGGTTTTCATATTAGCTCTCGTTTGACTGTAAACTCAGTGGCTCGGCAGGGTAGCGCAGGAGTCCCTTCCGCCTTGTGCTTTGCCCGTAGAACCTGACTGGCCTGAAGGAATAAACGCTAAAAAGACTTCATGCTTTTGTGACTTAGGAAATACTTAAATGACAGGCAGATGGTTCTTGTCACCAGTGGCTCTTTGCACTGTTCTCCAGCAGCCTAACCCTTTTTCTCTGTGGAAAATGTGATAAAACCCATCTCAATTTATCCATCAATATGACAAAAAATGCAAGTTTATGGGAATGTAAGTGTCCAGCGCTTGTGTTATTTGGAATACATTCCAAATCCTGTTCCATCTTCTTAAAAGGTTGTTATGGATTAATTGTTCCACACTGTAGCAAATTTTTTTTCATAATTTGACTTTAGTACCCATAATGCTTTAAGTGTTTTTGGCCATTTTTTTTTGTTCAGCAGTAGTAAATTACTTTTGTTATCTAATATGAAGAGAGTGTGGTTAAAAAGCAAATTAATCTATAAAGCAAAGTACTCATATATACATACTATATAAATTGCTTTTAAATTCATAACACTGTAGTTTTCCCTATCTATTGGAGATAATTGAGATACTGCTGTCCACCCAAAAGAAAACTGCTTATATTCCAAATAAAATTGGTCCTTATCAAAAATTCACTGGAAAAAAAACAATTTTACTGAAAGTACATGAATGATTACTTAAGACTTTTTTATTTTTTACATACTTGCGCTTAACTGTGTCATCAGAGGCTGTCAGCTCCTGGTAGAGGAGAAGCCCCGACAAGCAGAGTTTGCACACTTTAGGCCACTGGATGTCCCTCTTCACACAGTGAAAAAGTTCAGCAGGCAGCCGAGCTGTTTCCTCTCCATGTGCTGCCTGGTCCTGCTACAATCATCCTCGGATAAGCTGGAGACTCTCTGCCTTTAGAAAGAGTATTTTAGCCGTCAGACAACCTGAATGGCAGGCTGCTGTTGTGGACAGTTAATTCATAGTGCTCAGAGAAATAAATTTATTATTACTTTACAATTGCATGTATCCACCTCTGTGCTTCTGTGTTTGGATACCACAGAGAGGATATGGAGAAACCTTATAAATACTCATAATTTTATTCACTGAGATAGTTTAAAATCAATTTCTAGCTCTTTTAGGAGCCCAGATAGAGAGACTTTACTCAGGAAAGGAGTTTTCTCTCACCTAATGTCATGGCACATTGTGGCATGCCTTGAGAAAGAGCTTTAGTTAATTCTGAGGCCATGTTACAGGAAATTCAGTGTGTAGTGTGACTTTTCCAGATGGGGCCTGTATACCGTAACCCTATTCCTCTAGGGAGGAGTATTTTTATTAACCATGTTTGTTTGCTTCATTTTTGTTTTCATTTTTGTACTGGGGATCAAACTCAGGACCTGGTGCATGCTAGGCAGGTGCCTTGCCACTGAGCTAAATCCCTGCCCAGGAGAAGTATATTTTCTATGATTTATGTGCTGGGATTGAGTCTTTAGTTCTTCTGTCTTCTGATTCCCCTTGCAGTTGTTGTGACTACAAAGTCCAGACACGGGTTTCAGTTGTGTGATAAATGGAATCTTATTTATTTATTTATTTATTTATTGGTACCAGGGATCGAACTCATGACCATGCACTTGCCAGGGAGGTGCTTATGCTGCTGAGCTAAATCCCCAGCCCAATAAAAGTAATCTTACTATAAACCATTTCACTGAGGCAGATGTGTCTGAAGGCCCTGGCTTCCCTGGCATCTTCAGTGTTAGGGCGGAATACTCTGAAATATACTTGCTAGGTTTCAGGAGAAAACTGAGCCATCACAAGTTTAAGCAGCTAGGGTTATTCCCTAGTGTTAGTCAGCTGCCTCATGACTAAGTGTGTTGGCTCTGAAGGCGCAGGACTTGGATCCTGCCCCTGCTGCTTGGCCACTGCATGGCCCCCTGCAAGTTATATAACCCTTCTGGGCTTTGGGTTCCACACCTGAAAACGGGTAATCCCAGTATGTAGATTACAGGGTCATCGTAAGGATTAAGTAAAGGAGTGTAAGTGGAACAGCGTGTGACCGGTACCCAGTGAGTACTTAATAACTCATTGGAATTAGAATTCTCATTGCTTCTTAGTTGTTTGCCTGATAATTGTACCACATTGTCTCTCCTGACATCCCTTAGTGTAGTACAATACATCAGTATTATTTCTTATTAGAATTTATTGCATATTTTAGAAAGGGACATACATTTAATAAGTTTCATTTTAGCTGTTTTTCTTGTGTGACAGGTGGCCATGTAATAAATGAACAATTTACAGCGAACTGAAAGTTAAACTGTCTCCTGAATATGTTCAGGTGATGCGTTATATAACACATTACTTTTTACTGCAGTCATGATTCCTAATTTGCATAAACAATTGACCACTTTATTAGCTCATTAGATACATTGAGCCTAGTCCAACAATATAAACTTACTACAAATGCACATCTGGAATGTGAAACTTACTGGAAACTCATTGGAACTCAAATTTCCAGTAAAGGGAAACTCTGCCTTTTTCAATAAAAGAGGAAATATCTATGCTGAGTTCACATAGATGACATGGATTTAGAAATGATTTGTGTTTCAATTATACTCACTCACTGACTTTTAAAGTGAGATTCACAGCTTCCCAGGTCTGTAGGAAGACACAGCGCTGTGGTGGCAATGGCCAATCCAAATCCGTGGTCCTGCCCACCCTACACGGTTAGGGTCAGCTTTCTGATTCCAGCCTTGGAACAATGAACTAAATCCTATTTCTGTTCATATTTAGTGTATCAGATACATTAGGCTGCCTAGTCCACCGTTATTCTCAGCAGTCTGGTTTCTAGCTGGAACTTTATTTTCAGATATCGGGAGGTCGCATGCTTCAGGGGAAGCCAGGGTTCCCTCTGGCCTTCGCAGGAAGTGAATCTTGAATAGTCTGCACCAGACATTTTACTTAAATTCTGATTATTACCTTTCTAGTGATGTGTTTGGATCTGAGTGTGTGACACCACTCTGGCTGAGTCAAGGGAGAGTCTGAGGTGGTGGTCATCCTGCTTTCACGTCAAATTTACGCCTACAAGGAAGCCCTGCTGCCATTTTCATGGTTCCTGGAATTGCAGAGGCATCTTAGCGCCTTGCGGAGAAGCAGCTCGGATGGCGAGCAGCGTGGACAGAGTGGAAAGGGGTAAAGAACCCGGGCCCTTGCTGATGCTGGTGATTGCCCATCTCCCCTGGACCCGCGTCAGCATTTAAGGCAATTTTAGTGACTTATTTTCAATACAGAACATGCTAACGGGTGTGATGTAAAGTCTGCTACATAACATAGGCATCTACTTGGTGTTGATGTTTTCCCAACAAACACATCTAGTTTAGGTGTCTTAGTCTTAACTTTCCACTTCTTTTTTAAAGTTGTGAGCAGATTCACTCCATAGTAGCTCTAGATTAAGAAGACTGAACATATCTGAATTGAGATTGCTGTGTTAAATGAAACTAATTTGACATTTTATATATGTATATATATAATATGAAATTTTTCTGCTGGACAATTTCTAGACACAGATGTCAATTAGTTCATGTAAATCACTAGGGTTGTAGTTCATAGCCTTTAAAAATACATGTAACTGGATAATTGTGAAGTCTACGTGGGGGTCTCATCATCCTTTCAAAATCTTGCTAAGTTGATTTCATGCCTGGATAAGTCAGTGTACGTTGGCTGGCATCCCTTCCGTGTGTCCTTACCATGCATCCTTACTGAAAGGACAGTGCGTGTCCTTTTACTGTGTGTAACTCTTCTTTGAATGATCTGGCCTTATTGGGAGACTTATTCTCAGTCCCGCAGGGATCCAGCCATGAATGTAAAGGATGAGGCCTTGTTGAGGATTATACCATGAAGACAGGGATTGTTCTGAGTCACCTTGGTAAAGCAAACTGTGGTAAACTGATCCTGTGGGGCCTATTAAAAGAAACCCTTAGTATAGTCATGAGGGGGCCTCAGCCTTTGATATTTAGATTAATAGACTGCAATCATTGTTCTTAATCTAAGAATCAAATTCCTGTGTCTATTTCTGTCAAACACACTATCAGAATATCTAAATTGAGAAGAAGGTAGGAAAAAATTTACATAATGCTTAAGATATACCCACTTAAAAAGCCTGTCCTTACACTGAAAAGCTTTTGCTAGCACTTTCCTGTAGGTATGTCTGTAAGAAGAGATTGGGAAGAAACTCATTTCTTGCTGTTCAATATAAAGCAGAAGAAAGATGTGATTGGATGTTACTAAGGTGTGTTTAAAAAATTTTCTACCCATAAAAGGTTAAAACTTCTCTCCGGACTCCTGGTCTATTTGCCGGGAAACAACGGTTCCAGCTCGGTTTCTGGCTCACCACCTGGGGGGTAAAATCCTTCCCTCCTCTCTTTTCCATTCCCTAATCCAACAGTGCCAGCCTTGGTGATTAAAATCCTCAGCTACAGGGAGCGTATGGCAGCGTACGAGATGTTTGCTAACGTATTTTGTGGGAGGTAAGAACATGAGTGTTTTCTGAGTCTCTTGTCTTCCGAAGGACTGAAATTTCCTCCCTACCACAGTGTAAAGAATTAAAACACAGTCTGTGCTGGAGAGGAGCAGCAATTTGCAAACCCCAAGACCAGGTCCTAAAATTCTGTCTTTGCTGGCATCCACGAAGCCCACAACCTCAGGCAGGCATGGAATCACTCGCGTCTTTGGGGAATAAGAATTGGGATATTTGTGGGGTCACCAGGTGTATGCAGTGACTATTTTGCCAGACTCTAAAGATTAACTGCTGTTATGTGTCTTGCACAAAGTAAAATAATAAAGTCTTTGGAATAGTCGCGTTTGTGTTAAGGAGTGCCAAGGAGTGTGTGTGCACACACATGTGTATGTGTTTGTAAAATCACAGAGCAGAGCTGTGGTTAACTGGCCACCTCCTCTGTATTAGTCCATTTTTCATTACTATAACAAAACACTGGAGACAGGCTACATTTATAAAACAAGAGATTTCCTCAGCTCACAGTTCAGTTGATTCCAGGGCCTGGCACCAGCATCAGCTGGGCTCTGGTGAGGACCCATGACAGACGTGGCTTAGTGACAGGGTCACGTGTGGGAAGAGGTTACGCTGCCGAACAGCTAAGCAAGAGCAGTTCAGGATTTGGGCTCACTTTTATAGCATCTCATCCCATGAGCGCTTGGAGTCCTGTAAGAGCTACAAGGACAGCTCCCCCGGTGACACAAGGATTGTACCCTAGGTCTTACCCAGGAAAGGTCCCTCCCCTCATTACCACCACCCTGGGACCAAGCTGTCGACACGCGTTGGGGGACCCTGGGAGGACGCACTCCGAACCATTCCCGACAGAGAAGAGCCTTCAAGTGCTGAAAGCGTTTGAATTCTGTTAGTAAGGGTGAAAAGCCAGTGTGCTGACCCAGTTTCATCTGGTTAAGCAATGGGTCACGTTAATTTCACATTTAGATTATTCTTAACATGCTCTACAAGTGTATTGTTCAGTTTTGCTGCGGATTGTAACCCCCTCTGAGCAAACAGACTTAAATTCTGACTCTTTCATATTTTTGCTTGAGATGCATATCAAAAACCACAAGAATTCTATAACTCTCGCTAACTTGTCAGTTTTAACTAGTAGATACGACAGTTCTGTAAAGGTTTCAGAAAACCAGCAATTAGCAGCTGCAGTAGCCTCCTCTCTTTCTTGAGGAACATGTTTAGGGAAGATGTGCAGACATTTCAGCTTCTTGGTCATGTTCTTCCTGTGGTTTCCACCTGCTCCAGAAGGTAGCAGCAGACACAAAGAGCACTTTAGCTGCAGGTGACACCTAATACAAACACATAATTGTCCTGTGTACCTTCTTTTGTGCGTCTCTTGCGAATCGTACACTTCTTCCTGTTTTGTTTGTCTCTTTTCATTTTTGAAAGAAATGCCAGTTTTCCTGCCCACTGTGCAGTATGGACAGGAGGCTGGATCTCTGGGTGTGAAGACTTCCCTTCCTGGGGCTGGAGGTTTAGCTCAGCGGCATAAGCACCTGCCTTGCAAGCAGGCAGTCGTGAGTTCGATCCCCGGTACCGATAAAAACGAAAAAGACAAAAAAAAAAAAAAAAATAGAATTCCCTTCCCCTGGGCTCCTCTGAGCCTTCTTGGGCCTCGCCTTCTCGAGTGTCCTCCTGCTCCCCGTGAGTCCTGGACAGCAGGCTTCGGGCCTGTAGCCCCAAACACCCCCAAACAGATAGTTCTACCTTGATTAATGGAGATCACAGATGGAAATAGTTTTCTTCCTCCTGTGGACATGCTGGGATTTTAGAACCAATGCTATTAATCAATCTGTCCTAAAACCAAAACAGTTGCAAATATGTAACATAGACTATCTGTGGAATAGAAAACAACCCTTTCACTAGGCCCGCTTTTGTTGAAGTTGGAAAATGTTGCCAGCCTGTTTTTGATGTAATTGAAAATGTTTAGAAGCTTTCCTGAAGAGTTGATTAATATATCAAAATCAAAAAAGGCAATTTTGAGCCTAATTTTGTTTGTTTACTGTATAATACAGGATTCTTGGCTTTGAAATTCTGCCATGCAGGGTGAAAATGACTGTCAGTGTGAAACAAAGTAGTCCATTGAAAAGAACATTGCGCCTAACAGGAAACAGCTGATACCAACCCATGCCTGCTCTGTGGAATGAAGATGTGACAATATCTTAATCAGTCTGATTGGTTCCTTGTGGATGGAGGAGCAAGTCCAAATTTGGCCAAAGGGCTGTCTTTGTCTTACCCACCTCTTTGTACAAGAAGTCCAGAGTGGGTGAGGTGGAGGAGAGGTGGTCTGGTCCAGGTGGAAAGAACCCAGTGCTCTGGAATCTTGATGAGCTGCACAGAACAGAGCATCATTCCTGTGAGCAGAGGTGGAAGCCATGGCTTCCATGGGGGGTTGGCGAGTTCCTGTAGGAGGGCCTGACATCCTTGATTATGTTCCAAGAAGCCTTTCCAATGGCTCTTGATTTTCTAACTGAAAATGCACTGAAATGGGTAATTATATTTGGGAACTCATTTTTGGAGGAAAAGTTCAAAAAAACTTGAGCCAGAAAATGAGTGAACTGTTACCAGAAATTTCCACCTTGGATGAAACACGATCACTCAGAGAGAGGGAGATGCCTGTCGCAGAGTGATCCACCTGCTTCTCTTTTTCAGGAAAGCCCCAGCTTTATTTATTTTTCCATCATTTCAATCACTGATGTATCTAGAAACTACAGTGTTTGGCTGTTTTATCTGCGAGACTGTCTTTCATACCCAGAAGCAACACAAAATTCTTTTATAGAACCATAGTTCTTGGTTTGGCATTCACAAAATAAGGCCACCGCATGTAGAAAGGGGCGGCACTGAAGAAATAAACAAAGTCAGTTCTATTTTGCCACCTCTCTAGATAGACAACCAAGCAGCCAGGCCGGGTTTGTCGCATGGCCTCTGCTGGATAGAGCAGGAGCTCTCGGAAGGCAGTTGGTTTTCAGTGGGGTTTGCACCATAGCCTCCCGCAGGAGGAGCAAGAGAGCACATCCTCCTGTCTGTGGCAGCCCTTCAGGTGGGAGAGCACATCCCTTACTCCTGAGTCGGTTCTCTGCCCGGCCAAGCTTCAACACAGCCCTTAATCACTGCATCCCTGATTTTCTCCATCGGGTTTGGTTTTCTGCTTCAGCACAATGACAGTGGAATCCTTTTCCCTTTAAAAGCTTCTGCTAAGTCAGGGTAAGATAGTTTTAGTTTACTTGACAGCCACCTCTTGCTGTTCGTTCAGAGCAAGCTTGTGGTCAGTTGGTCCCTTTTGGTCTCTTTCAGACAAATAATTATTTACCTTTACCACATACCTGTGCGTTGGATTCTTAAAACTGTTATATCAAAACTTTCATTTGTACCAAATACTGTGTATGTTTTAAAAAAAAATTTGGCCTGCCATTGAAATCTGTCAGGCTCTTGTAAAATCTTGATTTTTTTTTTCTTCTTCTGATGTATTCATTTTCCGGTCAGCTACAAATTTTAATAGCTTGCCTATATTTTTCTAAGTGGTATAGTATTGTAAAAAAAAAAAAAAAAGAGATGTACTTTCCAGTGAGACATAGTTGAATTTTAATCCCAGTATCATCCTGTGCTGGCTGTTTGATATTGGACAAGTTATGTAAACTCCCCAAGTCCTGGTTGCTCATCTGAAAATGAAGATGATCTCCTAGATTTGTTAGGAGAATTTGCAGTATCAGCCCATTCCAGTGACTGTCGCGTGGCAGGTGATGATGGTGGTAATAATAGTGATATATTTTTTGGCAGTGGCTCAGAATCATTTTCTTCTTTTCTTTCTTCTTAATTAGGTCAGTGGTAATTATTTTGAGAGCTTGTTTGGAGGCCCTAGCAGGGGAGTAAGCTCCTCGGACACCCTTGACCAGGGAAACAGTCCTCTTCCATCCAGGATGCTTGTTCTCTTCATCTGTGTGTGCAGCTCAGGAGGGTCACACGTGGAGCGGTGCAGAGGTAACGTTCTGGATAGGGCCAAGGACAGAATTATGTATCCATTAGATACTGTTCTCTAAGCTGACATTTGTTAAATTAGATAGATATTACTAAGCAAGTATTTATTGAGCATCACAATATTTTAGTACTCTTTGAGTGACTAGGGACGTGGTAATGGAGCTGACCTGCAAAAGGGCTGGGCTGCAGCACAGTGTAGGAATAGCATCTGCAGAGAATTGGTTAACTCTGCAAGACACACACATCAGTGTGTGTAAATTGGTGTGTAATACAGTTTCCAATAACAAGAGGTAAAATAGATCATATTAGATAGTGGAGAAACTGAGAAAATAGCGTACTCAGGATATGAGGGAGGAGCACTGCTGTCTTACCTGGCTAAAGGCCTCTTGGAGGAGGAGACACTTGGACAGAGTCCTGATGCAGGGAATTCAGGGCTGTGGAGCTCTCTGAAGGAAGAGGGCTCTGGCCAAAAGGGCTTGATTTGTAAGTAGGAGCTTTATTGTATGTATGGTTGACCATGGGTTGGTTCTGTTGAAATCGCCATCATATCCATAAGAGTCCTAAGAATATTCAGAAGCTGTAAGTGTACTTTCCCTCATTGATATAAGCTGTGGATGAATCTGGGCTTGTTTTCAGGGCCTGGGGAGGTGCAGGAGTCTATTCCCTCATCCATGTGAAAGCCTTTCTCTCTCTGAGCAAGCGTGCAGTGTTATGATACTTAAATCACAGAATAGGCCCCCAACATCCTGCCAGATTGCCTGAATCTATCCTGGTGACCTGCGGTGCAACAGGAGTCTCACTGAGGTATGTAAGGAAAACAATTTAATACAGGATACATAATACATAGAATTATTGATCATAGTCACCCAAAGAGTCAAATTGAAAATATGCAGGAAATCTGTCCACACACTGAAGACCCTAAGAATCCAGCTGAGGGCCTGGATCCCACAGCAACGTCCTGCATGAGTCCAGCTGAAGGCCTTTAGCACATGACAATGCCCTTTATGAGTCGAACTGGAGGCCTAGAGCCCACGACAATGTCTCACACAAGGATCTGTATCAAGGATCTGCGCTGGGAAGGCCCATATATCAGCAGTGGAAGCTAGAAAGTCTGTGCCAGCAGGATGAAGGGTCTGTGCCAGCAGGCGGAGGTTCTGTAGTGGTGCCAGGAAGCAACAGTCAAAGTAAGGACCAGGGCTTCCCTGGAAAGAACCACAGCCATCCTCAGCAATAGTGAGGTCCCGAACTCCTCTGATGATGAGACCAGCTGAGCGTATACCAGGAAACCAGTGTGACAAGCTTCTCCTG